TTCCACAAACTTTCTAAAGCCCCTCGTATAACAAAGACAATGCTTCCTTCTCGTTCCTGAAAGTCGAATATATACACTATGTTAAATATTTTATCTACATTATTTACTTACCCCAAAAATACCATTGGAAGGTATTAAGGTCATTCTTTGACATTTTTACTCTATAAAGAATCTGAAACAAGGAAAATTAAGCCCATCAGTTGTGTTAACAAATACGTCCAACGCAACGGACCGAAGCAGGAGCAGGTTTTCTGTGGTCTGTCCCTCCCACGTGGCTTCTGCAGCAGGAACTGGGCCTTCAGTGAAGGAGACCCCTAGTAAAATGAAGATTATCTATCAGTACCAGTAGCCAATAATGCACAAAACACTTTTCTGTTGAAGGGAGACATCTGACAGTGTAAGACATAAAATAATAATAATTTTAAAATTACCAAGGGTTCGTGAGGAAGGGAAGGTGGGAGAGGGAGAAAATATGAGGAGCTGATACCAAGGGCTCCAGTAGAAAGAAAGTGTTTTGAGAATGAAGATGGCAACAAATGGCAACAAATGTCCAAATGTGCTTGACACAATGGATGGATGGATGGATTGTGATAAAGTTGTACAAATTGTGTGTGTTGTATGTATGGATTGTGATCAGAGTTGTACGAACCCCCAATAAAATGATTTATAAAATAATAATGCATGAAACAAAAACAGCTTCCCAACACTGAAGATCCTGGAGCTACAGTTTTGGGCCTAATAACAGACCGGGGCATAATAATCCTAGGGAGGTTTGGACACCTTAGAATAAGCAACCATTTGACATCAAATGGGCAGCATTCACCCAAGGACCAAGCTCTAAAGCAGCGGTTCTCAACCTGTGGGTCACAACCCCTCTGGGAGTCAAATGACCCTTTGACAGGGGTTGCCTAAGACCATCGGAGAACACATATTTCCGATGGTCATAGGAACCAAGACTGATCCTCTGTCCGTCTCCAGACAGGTCCACCCACGTGCAGATACACCCACATACGAGTACCCAGCTTGATGACATTATCACGCCAACCCCATCACATACACCCCGTACAAATACAGGTGTATGTGATACAGGGTTGGTGCCATAATGTACTTGTGCGGACCAGTCACACGTGTAGAGAACAGGTACTGTGTAGAAAGCAGCAGTACTGGAGGTAAAACGACGGTACATGAATTATAATTACTTGGTAAATGTAAAATCATGTACTGTAAAATCATCAACTACTGTAATATATATATATATACATACATATATATACATATACACACACACACACACACACACATATATATACATATGTACCACGGGAACTTAATCTGGATGCTCATCTTTCCATATTCAGCTGTGGTTGATGTGAGTACTGCCCCCTTGTGATAGTAACAGGTATTAAAAAAAAAACCAACAATGGTGAATCATAGGAAACTTTAATGAACTGTATTGACTGAACTATGCCATGTATCATCTTTTGTATTATTAAAGCTATTGTTATATATTACTTTCATTATCAAACCATCCCATGACAATGGATCATGTAGAGAAGAACACTAAGAAAAGAAAATATAGTGAGGATTTTTTAAAAATCATTTTATTGGGGGCTCATTGTGTCAAGCACATTTATACATCTGTTGCCACCATCATTCTCAAAACATTTTCATGAACCCTTGATAATTTATAAATTATTATTATTTTTTCATGTCTTACACTGTCCAGCATTTCCCTTCACCCACTTTTCTGTTGTCTGTCCTCCAGGGAGGAAATTATATGTAGATCCTTGTAATAGGTTCCCTCTTTCTACCCTACCTCCCCTCCATCCTCCCAGTATCGCCACTCTCACCACTGGTCCTGAGGGGTTCATTTGTCCTAGATTCTCTGTTTCCAGTTCCTATCTGTACCAGTGTATATCATCTGGATTTTTTACAGTATGGTTTTACTTCAATAATTACAGCAGGAATTGAGAAACCACAATGTGTTATTTGTTGTCATGTTCTGTCAGCTGAATCTAAGAAGCCGAACAAACTAAAATGCCATTTTGATAGCAAGCATCTGAGCTTTGCCAGCAAGGATACCAACTATTGTAGAAGCAAAGCTGATGGACTCAAGAAAGCCAGACTTGACACTGGTGGCAAGTACCACAAACAAAACCTAGCAGCCATTGAAGCTTCATATTTGGTGGCACTCAGAATCGCCAGAGCTATGAAATCTAACACCACTGCTGAGGATTTACTGTTGCCAGCGACCAAAGACATTGTTCAAGTTATGATCGGAGATGAATTTGTTATAAAATTGAGTGCAAGTTCCTTATCTAACGATACTTTCTGCAGAAAAATAAATGATACATCTGCTGATATTCTTCATCAGGTAACCCAGGAAATTAAATCTGCTCCACTTCCAATATTTAGCATCCAGCTTGATGAATCTACAGATGTTGCAAACTGCTCACAGTTACTGGTTCATGTGAGGTATATTAATGATGGCAACTTTAAAGATGAGGGTTTTTTGTTTTTTTGAAAACCTCTTGAAACGACAACAGCTGCATGTGATGTATTTGATACAGTTGGTTCACTTCTGAAAGATCTCTTGGGAAAAGGTCTGTGGTGTTTGCACAGATGGGGCTCCAGCCATGCTAGGATGTCAATCTGGATTTCAACATTTGGTACAGAATGAGTCACCAAAAGTCATCGGAATTCACCATATGATTCATCGACAAATATTAGCAACAAAGATGCTGCCACAAGAGTTACAAGAAGTAATGAACAGCGCCATAAGTTCTGTCAATTTTGTAAAGGTGAGCACTTTAAACAGTCGACTGTTTCGCAACTGTTCAACGAGTTGGATGCGGCGAATAATGCTCTGCTATTTCACACTGAAGTAAGATGGCTGTCGAGAGGGAAAGTTTTAAAATGTGTTTTTGGGCTTCGTGATGAATTCAAAACGTTTTTTAATCAGAAGGCAAGACTGCAGTTTGAAGCACTTTTCAGCGATAAAAGTGAACTGCAGAAAATAGCTTACTTGGTTGACATCTTTGCCATCTTGAATAAGTTAAATTTATCACTGCAAGGACCAAATGCAGCATGCCTTGATTTGTCTGAAAAGAGCTGATCATTCCAAATGAACCTTCAGCTTTGGCACAAAAAAAATTGGATGAAAATAAAATTTGCATGTTGCCTACCTCATCTGCTTTCTTTAAGGAACATGACATTGAACCAGACAAAAAGATTACGATGATAATTTCTGTGAAAGAACACTTGCACATGCTTGCAGACGAAATTGCATCGTACTTTCCAAATCGACCTGACACCCCATTTGCACTTGCCAGAAGCCCGTTCACAGTCCAAGTTGAAGATGTTCCTGAGACAGCACAAGAGATGTTCGTTGAACTTATTGACAGCGATGCAGCGAGAACTGACTTCTCTAAAATGCCAGTTACAAAATTCTGGATCAAGTGTGTGCAGTCATCTCCTGTTCTGAGACTGTGTTGCTTCTTCCATTTCCAACAACATATCTTTGTGAAACAGGGTTTTCCAGCTTGTTGGTTATCAAGTCTAAATACAGAAGTAGACTTGTTGTGGAAGATGATCTTCGTTGTGCTCTTGCAAAGACTGCCCGAGAATTTCTGATCTGGTGAGACAGAAGCTATCTCAACTTTCTCACTGACATTGGCTTTTTACCCATACAGTCGCAAAATGTGGCAGTGTAGTTTATGGTTGTTATATTAAGACTGTTACCCATGCTTCAAGACAAATTTTCATTTATTTGTAATTAGAAATAAATATTTCACAATACATAATTACATATTGTTTTTGTGATTAATCACTATGCTTTAATCATGTTCAATTTGTAACAAGGAAACTATATCCTGCATATCAGATATTTACATTATGATTCAAACAGTAGCAAAATTACAGTTATGAAGTAGCAACGAAAATAATTTTATGGCTGGGGGTCACCACATCATGAGGAACCGTATTAAAGGGTCGCAGCATTAGGAAAGTTGAGAACCACTGCTCTAAAGGGTTAGGAGGGAACGAAGAATTAAAGCAGAAAACAGGGAGAAAGTGGGATAAGTGATGTTTCAGAGTGGGGATTGCCGTCATTGAGAGAAAACAAAATGGGTATGCGTTGTTAAATGGAAACCTGAAAATGTTTTTTTAAAGGTGTATTAGTCTGGGTACTTTGGAGAAACAAATCCACAGAAACTCATATATAAGAGAGAGTTTTATGTAAAGAAAGTGTGCATCACGAAAACATCCCAACCCAATGCTGCCCAAGCCCACAAGTCCAACATTAACCCATTTACCCAACACCAGTCCACAAAGTCCTCCACCTCACAAAACAGAGGCAATGATGCCGACTGCAGGAGGAAAGCTGAGTCAATGAATGAACAAGCATCTCAGCACTAGCAGGGGTCTCCACACGGCTGCTCCAGCACCCAGGGCTGCATCGGGATAGATCCATGCGGCTTCTCCTTGGGGATGTCTTGTAGGAAGTCAATCTTGCAAGCTGAAGCAGGGAACTGCTAAGGCAGCTGCACCCTGGTGCGACCATCACAAAACAAGAGACCCGAGAACTAGAAAGGCGAGGCTTCACCACCCATTTATCCCTCCGCCTTTCAACCAGCGCCACATGTGATTATCGGCCAAGCTGGCACAATTAACTAACTCAAAAGGTCACAAATCATATAACAAGAGCTGTCTAAATTTTCTAGATATGAGTTACAAGTAATTTTTGCTGTCGGTTTCTATTTTATTGATATTAATTTTATAAACTTAACTAATATTACTATTTATAATGGGGAAATTTTATGTAAATATTACTACTTATATAAAATCTGCAATCAGAAATGATGACCACTGAGAGCTATGTGAGTAGCTCAGGGCCCTTCCTAGTTTGTCACGAGTGTTTATCAAAGCAGAGGTCTGTCTGCATGCACTGTGCTGCTCTCCACATGAAAGTCTGTGGCTGATTTCTGTGCTTGCTTCAACAGACAAAGATTGGATCCGGAAAGCTGATGGGACCCAAAGGCGTTTCTGTGGACCGCAACGGGCATATTATTGTGGTGGACAACAAGGCCTGCTGTGTGTTTATCTTCCAGCCAAACGGGAAGATAGTCACGAGGTTTGGTAGCCGAGGAAACGGGGACAGGCAGTTTGCAGGTACACTCGATGGTAATATGTACACCCCCTTTTCTATGCCTCTTCTGCTCATGTCTGCATGAGGGTCAGAGCATGTGGAAGATCCACATCCCTAGTGTGTTGGCTGGCTTTGGGAACGTGCTGGGGATGACCTCTGAGCTGAAGCAAGGTTAGATGCAGTGTCTCCCTTACTCCACTGGCAGGAAGTCGGGCTGAGATGCACGTGCAGTTCCTGGTGGCCGTTTACAACTCACAGTCTAATCTAGATCATTCATATTAAATAGAAATTTTCAAATAAAGGAACAAGGAAGGTAACTCCCATTTCTGCTTCGCTGCAGTTGTCTTTGAAAAGACTCTTCATGAGCTGCTTCTCCCCACCCCCCCACCTTCTTGGGCCACTGTAAGGATGCAGGAGTTGAGCATATTTAGTGGGTACAGGGAAGGGAGTCTCTCTTGCAACCACAAGCTTACTTAGGTTTTCATAGCTGCACACAGAGGCTGAATCAAACGGATAAGTTTTCTTTTTGTATTAAGGACGCGTTTGGTGGTAAATCAACATAATCTTTCTTTCTGCTTCATCTCCAGTCTTGCCAAGTTCTGAATGTCACCCAAAATTACATAGCATGGGTTTAAAAAAAAAAGCTACACATTGAAGTGCTGGCTTGCCCTGTCTCGCCTCTGTGGAGAGCAGGGGGCCCTAAACTGACAACTCCTGCTCAGGGAAGCTGGCAGAGGTGACTTTCAGAGGGTGGTGTGGAGCATGATTTCTGATGCTTATCGCTGGCGCCACTTCACTGCTACAACGCTGACCATGATGTGGAAGCAACTGCGCAGTCTCAGTCTCGAACCAACCAGGGGCCGCGCCTCCCGGGGCCAGAGGGCTAGCTGAGGGGTCTCCCAAGGACATCGATCCTGGTTCTCCTAAATGACCGAGCCAGTCTGCTCAGTTCTTCTTCGTACAGTAACTGCTATATTGTTGTAATCATTTCAATTGTTACAGTCATCACATGGTTGTTGTTTTTCCATTTCTGTTACAGGTCCCCATTTTGCCGCTGTAAACAGCAATAATGAAATTATTGTGACAGATTTCCATAATCATTCAGTCAAGGTACTCTAAGCACAAAAATAGTTTTTGACGTTTAACTGCTTTTATTAAGAAGTAGCTCTAGGGGGAAATAACATCATTAAAAACTGGTTGTTGTTTTTTTCTTTGTTTTCAGAAAATAACAGTGTACACACAAGAAAGCAATTAATGTAAAAAAGGAACTTGTTTTTCTGCTTAAAGATGCAGGTTTGAATTTGGACATGTAGACTTTGGAGACTGACCAATTAAACAAAATATGCTAACAATGAAGTCTGTCATTTGAAATGGGACTAAATGGAGATGACTTGAAAATTAAAAAACAAACAAACATGCCTTGAAGAACCTTCTGAAGCTTAAATTGTGTGGCTGTTTAATAAACAAACAAAGTCACTTCAGAAGTTTCTTGCCATATAAGGTCTTTAGAGCAAGATTGGTTATCGGGTCCCTGTTACAACAACAGGTTTGGCAGAGATCAGACCTACCTTACACGGAGTAGGATGTGTCCCCTCGGACAGAGCCTTCACCAGCTGGGCGTCAATGGCCTCCTGCCATCCTCCTTGGCCGGGAGGGAGGAAAAAACTTGGCGTCTGTCATAAATAAGTCAGGAAATAATCCAGTGCTTCAAAACATTTCTCATTTCCTAAAACCAGAATATACTTAGTATTTTAACCACGGCTTCTCAGGTGCACATTGTTGGCTGAGGGTTTTCTCCAGAGCTGCTATCGCAGTGCCTGGCCCCGGTGTGGGAAGGAGGGGTCTTGGTCAAGTCTGTCAGGATGGTAGTGACCCAGGGAAACCAAGAGCAAGGAGGCTGTGGGGCCTGGGGTTTGTGATTGTCCTTCCTCCGGGCTTTCACTGTCCCACACGATGAGCATCAGTATCAAAGGACCAAACCGGCTGGTACCATCCTTCCTGCCTCCATCCAGTCAGTTAAAGCGGACTCATTCCTTTAACTATGGGCATTCCATAACAAGACCCTGGCTGTGCAACAGCCAGCAAATGCCTGGTGAAGATGCTGCCTTCCTTCTCCAGCCCCTCCCAGCCCTCCCCAAAGATCATAAGAGTAGGCCAGTTCTTGTGAGTAGGTCCATGAAGGCCTCTGAGCCTTTCCCTTCCCGGGAGTCCAAGCAGCACCTAGGACCCAGCTGGTATACGAGTTGGCTCTTGACCAGCCCTGAAAATAAAACATATATGTACCTACCCAACATTGCCAGTTAGGTAGAAGTAAAGTAGTTCTGACAAAACAGGTCCATCTAAAGTTCCATTAAGTATCCAAAAGAAAAGAAAACTTTTAAGAGAAGTTATGGAAGATGATTTAAAAATTTGCTGCAAAAACCCATTCCAAGAAGCAAAGCTATAAAACTATTTCAGCAAATGCTGCTTTCTCTTAATATGCTCTATCTGAACAATTTCTAAGCAGTTTAATATCACTTTAGAAGAAAAAATAGTAAATATGAGAAACGGTTCATTCTTATATTTCTGAAAATACTTACGTTTTCATTACAGTTTCAAAACAAAAACTCACTGCCAGCGAGACAAATCTGTCTCCTAGTGACCCTACAGGACAGAGTAGAACTGCCCCTGCAGGTTCCAGAGCTGTAAAGCTCTACAGGGGTAGCAAGCCTCATCTTTCTCCCACCGAGCAGCTAGCCTTGAGATTGGTGGCCCAGCCCATAACCCACAATCCCACCAATAGAGGTAGTTACTTTAGTTGCCTATTTAAACTCAGTAGTTATCTTATTTTAAAAAACCAGTGTTTGCTTTGGTGTTGCTCCTTTGACAGTGATTGCGTTTTTATAGAACACGCAGTCTTTGGTTTCCTGTGCCGGCAGTGGAGTTAGCAGTAGCTCTGGATTCAGGCAACTTCTCCGTTTGGCACACATGAGCAGGGCCAAAGTGTGATCCAATTAATTCTTTAGATACCTTCTGTGTATATTTTCTTTTCATCAGAAACAAACAAGTCCGTCTCTGACATTCTCCATAATTCCTAAGTGAAGCACAAGCATTGAGCCATGTAGACCACGCCGAGGGAAACATACGGACTCAGGGAGAAACACGCAGTCAAGCACACCCAAAGGGTGATGTGTAGGACTCGTGCGAGCGAAAGCTGAGACCCACACGTGGTGTTGGTGTCCTCGGCAGCGCAAAGGCACTCTTCAAAACGAGCATGAGCCAGAAAGCTCTGAGACTTGACATCGTCATTCACGTTGGTGCTTGTTGTCTGTGTTCTTCCCCGGGAAGCAGAGGGGGAGATTGCTTGGTTTGCAATTACATAATTCATGTAGGAAGAGTCCATAATAGCTCTGTTTCTTCTTCTTTACCTTAAGGCAATCTTCAGGAAATTTAGGTTTGGGCCTTTGGCTTATTTTAAGCTTGAATGTTTGGTCCTCCCTCTCAGGGTTCCGTCTATTTAATGCTTGTTGGTTTGTTCATGGTTTTTTCCAGTATCTAATAATCCACAAGATAACAGAAGTTTAAAATAATGGCCCGGAGGAATTTCAGTACCATTAAATATTTTCTGGATCACCAAACTAAAATTATGCTGCTACTGCTAATGTTAAACACATTGTATTAAAATGCAACTTTCTCAAAATCAGTACTCTGTATATGGGTATATAGAGTAGAATTAATAAGAATGTTCAGTGAACCACAACAGCCCATTTCTTGACCATACTAGATATTAGAGAATTTACACTTATGAAAACTTACTTCCAATAGCCACCCCTCTCACTGTAGCCTCTCTATTAATAAAGTCTTACCCTTGTATGCACCCTCCATCTTCACACAAAAAGTCCTGTGAGTTCCTTAAAAAGCTCATTTCTTGTTCCTCACCCTCTGCCATCTCACACACACTCTCTCTCCGCAGATGAATTGCCCCTGTTACAAATGTGAATCCAGCCTCTTCTTGCTTGTCGTATTGATTTAGAAAAATGATAATAAATTCTCAACATCTGGACTAACTAACCTAACTCCAGCTCTTTGATCTCTGTTCATAATACGATTGCCCATTCTTGAAATCTGGCTATTTACTTAAAGGCAAAAGAGTAATATTGTTGAAAATCACAACTCTACTTATTCATACAACCATATACTTAGATAGTATTTTTCAGTTTATTTTTTAAAATACATTCCAATGTTTAGCATAAATTATTTAATGACCAGGCATAAGCCCCCCCCCCACACCCCAAAAGAAATAGTGGTCTAAGTAAATATCATTTACACAGAAAACTGTGGAATGACAAAAAAGGGGCATGTGGGTCCTGTATGGTTTGTAGATTTTTTTTTTTTTAGAATATCTTAAGTCATAAGTCTTGTGATATCTTGCTCAAGAAGAAGCGTTTCAGAAATCTATAATGGTGGTTCAATCATTTTAACTAAAAGAAATCATTGTTAAATATTTCATGCAGGTATTTAATCAGGAAGGTGAATTCATGTTAAAGTTCGGCTCAAATGGAGAAGGAAATGGGCAGTTCAATGCTCCAACTGGTGTCGCCGTGGATTCCAATGGAAACATCATTGTAGCCGATTGGGGAAACAGCAGGATCCAGGTAGGTCGCCGGGCTGATGTATTTGGGCAGCATGGTTAGTATCTATGACCAGTGAAGGACCCTGGAGTATGTTCTGTTCTCCATTGCCATTGGTTGGGCCATAAGACTCTAGGTAAACATACCAGAAAGACCAACCTATGGAAAGCAGAGTATAGAAAAAGGATAAACAACATACTACGGTTCAGAATTGACTGAATGACAGCAGGTTTGGTGTTTTCTTGGTATTATCAGAACCGACTAAATCAAGGTTTCTTTTTATAGACTCTCTCCCAGGCACCAGGCACACATTCTGATTGCATGGATTTTATGAGCTAGCATTAGCTCATTTCATCCTCAAAACCACCTTTGAATACCGGATGCCATTACATGGGTTCTGACTCAGGGAGCCCCCGTGGGCATCTCAGCATCTTCAGTGGATGATTTCTCAGAAGTAGATCATCAGACCTTTCTTCCCAACCAGGGTTTCTGAACCGAGATTGTGCACATTTGAAGAGGCTTGTGGGTAAAATTCAAAGAGGTTGCAAAAATAGTACTTTATTATTTTTACTAACTTCTAACTGAAATCAGTCTGTGACTTTGTCACCGAGAGAAATCGCAGGTATTGTTGGTATATATTGCTGTTGTAGACATCTTGAGTTGCCCTTGATGCTCACTACTACAAAAGTTATTGTGGTTATTAGACTCGCCACTATTGCTTATTTAATGTGCTCATCAAACCGCCCTGCCCCCTCCTATAGGACTGCTGTGAGTAGGAATTGACTGGGCAGCAAGTTTGTCGTGTTTGTCTTGTTTCGTTTTTCAGTTAGTGGATAACTCGCCACACTGCTTTGCAGTTGATTCCAACGCATAGCAACCCTAGGTAGGGTTTTCCAAGTCTGTAAAGCTTTACGGAAACAGCTTGGTGTCCTCTGTGGGGCAGCTGAATGGTTTGAATCACTGACTTCACTGTTTAGAAGTCTAATGCTTACCTGCACAATTCTTCAAAAAGTGCAAACTCTGCCACTTACTCCAACCTGAACTAGATCGTTTGATCTATTACCCTGGTGGCAGAGTGGTTATGCATTGGGCTGCTAACCACAAGGTGAGCATTTGGAAACCATGGCTGCTCTACAGGAGAAAGATGAGGTTCTCTAGTCCTGTCGAAGAGTTACAGCCTCAGAAACCCACAGGGGGAGTTCTACCCGGACCTGTAGGGTTGCTGTGAGTTGAAATCGATTCGATGGCAATGCGTTTGCTTCTTCTTGGTTTATTACCGTTAAAGGAGCCCTGCTGCTGCTATGGTCCAGCACTCTGCTGTTAACCCAAAAGGTTACACCAACGGGGGAGAGATGTGGCATCTGCTTTCATGAAGATTTCAAAGTCAAAACTCTAACCCACTGCCATTGAGTTGGTGCCGACTCATAGCAACTTTATAGGACAGGGTAGAACTGTCCCTGTGAGTTCCTGAGACTATAACTGGTTACAGGAGTAGAGAGCTCCTTCTTTCTCCCACAGAGCTGCTGGTGGTTCGGAACTGTGGCCCTTCTGGACAGCTATACCACTGGGACTCCAAATTCATAGAGCTCTGGAAACCCTCTGGGCAGTTATATTCAGTCCAACGTAGTCCAATGACTCAGAATCAACTCCACATCAGTGGGCATTGCCATTATAGAGTCCCTGGTTGGCACAAACAGTTAATGCACTTACCCACTAACCAAAAGGTCAGAAGTTCAAGTCTACCCAGGAGTCCCTGGAAGAAAGGCCTGGCGATGAACTTCCAGAAAGTCCTCCAGAGAAAATCACATGCAGCACAGTTCTACTCATGAGGTCACATGAGGTCAAGTTGACCTGGTGGCAACTGGATTTTATTACTATGAAGGACATTGAATTTGTAATTTAAAAACTCTCCCAAAAGAAAATTCTAGACACAAATGGTTCCACTACCAATACTACCAAATACAGAAGAATTAGTGCCAATTCTACACAATCGTTTCCAGAAAATGGAAAATGTGGGACCATGCCCAATCCAGCTTATGAAGCCAATATTATCATGATCCCCAAACCAAACAAAAACAGTACAAAAAGAAAATAACACACCTATATCATGAGTATGGCTGCCTCGTTTTAAACAAAATAGTAGCAAGTAGAATCTGGCAGTTTATATCAAGAATTATATACCTTGACCAAGTGGTATTTACTCCATGTATCCAAGATGTTCAGATTTGGAAATCATTGTCATGCACTACATTCAAAAGCTAAAGAAAGCAAACATGGAGTAAAGTAAGACTCATAGCAGCTCTGTAGCACTGCCAGGTGGAGTCCAACCCATAGCAGGTTTTACAGAAAAAGTAGAGCTGCCGCAGGACACGGCCAATGCTGTAATCTTTACAGAAGCCAACGGCCACATCTTTCTTCCACATAGTGTCTGGTGGGTTCACATTTTAGTTTTCGTTTTAGTGGGTGTTAGCAGCCTCCTGCCGAGCCACTCCACTCCAGGGCTCCTTCACCAGACGTTAGCAGCAAACTAACCCAGGCCTGACTCCACTGAATTGGAGTCCAATTCATAGCAATTTCATGGAGGATTTCCAAGAGTGTAAATCTGTGCAGGAACAGACAGCCGCCTCTTTCTCTCATGGAGCCGGTGGTGCCTTTGAACCACCATCCTTGCGGTTAGCAGCCCAATGCTTATCCCACAGTGCCACCAGAGCGCCTTTCACCAGATGTTGTGAGGTGCCCTCCAGTGGGTTCCAACTCGCATCAACCCCTGCTTGCAAACCCTGCTTACTCCTGCGCCAACCTCGCATTGTCATGTTGGAGCCCGTTGTTGCAGCCACTGTGTCGTCTGTCTCCTTGAGAGTCTTCCTCTTTTGCACTGTCTGCCTCCTAGACATTGATTTGCAAATTAAGACCATAATGAGAGATTACTACCTACTTATGGGGTCACTATGAGTCAGAATCCATTTGATAGCAGTGAATTGAGTTTTATTAGAAGAGCTTTAAAAGAAAAAAATGTTTAATGATAATTCCAAATGCTGGCAAGGGTTTGGAGAAACTAGATCTGTCATACGTTGCTGGCGGAAAGATAAAATGGTACAAGCCGCCTAAAAAATAGTGCAACAACTTCTTTAAAACAGCCTATAAAGAGGGGCGTTAAAAAGTTTGGAAAAATTTAATTTCATTCAACAAACTTTTTGAAATCCCCTCAAATACCTACAATACAATCTAGCACATACACTCCTGGGCACTTATCCCAGAAAGATGAAAACGTAGGCCCACAGAAGAACCTGCCCAGCATTGTCCATAGTTTGCATTCAGTGTTTCTACAAAGACAGCAATGATTATTAGTTGCTCGACTCTCATCTACTCAGATAAAATGAATTTGAACTAGAAACATAGTATAATACTTTTGTTTCTCCACTATTTTTATCTTGTTTACTTATCCCGCTAAAAGATTACATTTAAAAGGAGCACCCTATATCTAGTTAGTAGTATTTTAGACCAGCTGTCAAAAACTCAAATGATCTACATTTCTTCAGAAGCCAAACAGGGAAAAATTTCACAAAGCCATTCTGTATAGGATCACAGATGCTAAGCTGTTTGTATTGTGACCTTGTGTTAGTACCTGCCTAGTTACACTACCGTTTTAAACACCGTGCAGGCCGGACACAATGAGCAAAAAATAAATAAAACTCATCCTGGCTGCGGTTAAGTAGGAGAAATTTAAAGGCCTCATTTATTCCTTTAAGGCAGCCCACTGCTGCAACTGAGAGGTCGGAAGGTGGAGCCCAGCAGCTCTTGTCTAGGAGAAAGAGGTGGCAGGCCACTTCTATAAAGCCTGGTGGTCCTGGAAGCCCTGGAGCAGTTCTACTCTGTGCCCCACAGGCAGAGGATTTGGTTTGAGGTTAGCATTAGCAGACCAAAGGAAACAACTTGAAAGCCAAGTGTACATGTCGAGCCTTGGACTTCTCACCGTTCACTCTTTCCTGAAAAGAAAGCAGAAGGAGCGGGTCGCTAGGATCTGTTTTCTTATTGTATGTAATGAGCCGGGACCACTCAGCTATGGTCCAGTTGCTGGTTCCTTTGTCCTTGGGGATAAAAGGAGGATGTGAGGGAAGAGATGAGAATAAGACTCCTTCGTTTTTCAAGCACTGTCACGAGCCGGCCCCACAGGAAAGCCGGCACTACAGGAAAGTCATGCAATGTAGCAGCCAATGGCATGTTCTTTGTCAGTGACCCCGTGGCACAGCAGGAGTGGAGAAAAC